TAGTAGATTGAAATAAAAAATAATTTGGCCACTAGAAAAATATTTTTATAATATTCTGAGCAAGTCTGAGCAAGAAAGTTAATTTTCACCATTTTAAATGTCCCAAATCACAGCTGTTCAACACATGTAGCTGAGAGCCAAGAATCAGAGAAAGAGGAAACCCATGTAATTAAACACAGTGTTTAATATTGATTACAATTTATAACGCAATACCAGGCCGTCTTGGGAATACCAACCATCTTTCAGCTAGAAGATAAGCTGTGTGAATAAAGAACCATTACTGATTATAAAATAAGTCTTCATTTGGTTTATTTTTAAGTAGTTAAAGGAAAATTTCATTTAATTCAATAACTCTTTAATTTCATCAAAAATCCAGTTAAGTGTTCCAATTTTTAATTGTCTCACAGTTATCTTTCTTTCACAGTTTATTTAAATTAGGATCCAAATAAGATCCACACATTGTTATTGATTGACAGGTCTATTAAGTGCCTTTTAACCTGTAGTTTCCTCTCTCTCTCCCTAAATTTATTTGCTGAAGAAATTGGATCATTTGTCCTATAGCTTTCCAGGGCCTGGATTTGCTGATTTCATTCTTGATATGTAGCTTTACATGTCTCTACATCCTCTGTATTTTTGTGAATTGTTAATTGGATCTAGAAGCTTGAACACATTCAGGGTTTACGTTTTTGATTGGTGAGGGTAGCAGTGAGACTATCTTATAGGTAGTATAACAAGTTCTTCATCTGGAAGCACGTAATATCTGATTGTTTCCCTTTCTATGTTGTTGGCAGATGTCAGTGATTAATGCCTCCATCTCTCAGTTCATCAGAGTTTGCAAAATGGCAATAGTCTTTCATTCCTTATTCACTTATTAGCTGCCATATTTCTTTAAAGAGAAACTTTCATCTACTATATTAGTTTCCCGGGGCTGTTGTAATAAATAATCACAGACTTCAGGAATTAAAAACAATAGAATTTTATTCTTATGGTCTGGAAGCAACAAGTCCAAAATAAAGGTGTTGGCAGGGCCATACTCCCTCCAGAGGCTCTAGGGGAGAATTTGTTCTTTGCCTCTTCCAACCGCTGGTGGCTGCTGACATTCCTTGTGGCTATAGCACTCTAACTGTTACCACTGTGGATACAATTCCTCTTCTATTTGTTCACCTCTGCGTGTCTTTTAGGACCCTTGTCATCAGATTTAGGGCCTACCAGGGTATAATCCGGGATGATCTCATCACAAAATCCTTAATTATACTAGCAAAGACTCTTTTTTTTTCCTTTGCGAGACATATTTTGTAGGCCACCATTCAACTCACTACATCTACTATTTGGTACATGGTGGTAATGTTCACATAGGGAAGGCTGGATAAATGATTATTTTTCTTTATTTACCAATCTTCAAAATAATAAGTTATTTCTTTAGTATCCTCCAATAGTGACCAATTAGGATTTTTGTTTTGTTTTTTAGCAGCATTATAAATTAATGAATTTAAATACTTAATATAATTCAACTTGCTGCAAGTACTACCCTATGAGACTAAAAAGTGTCTCATCTTTGGCCAGTGAGAGCTTCTTCATGTTGGCTCCTAAATTCTTTTAACATGGTACTGGTAGTCTTTGATATCTTCTGATATGAGATGAATTGTGCCTTCCCAAAAAGATATGTTGAAATCCATGAAAGCCACCAGAAACTAGCTTATATTTTGGTATACAGAAAATAATTGCAAATTAGTTGCTGTTTTAAGACATGGAGTAGTAATTTCAAACTCCAAGTTAGAAGGATGAGAACATTAAAAAAATATTTTAAAGTCTCACATGGATAAAAGTAATTTGTGTAGTCAGCAATTGCTTCTTATACACTGCATCAAATATTACTGCATATAGAAATCAACAGTTTTTCTTTTTTTGTAAAGGCCTAAAACAAGTGAAATCTGAATATAGTATAATTTTTTTGGTAGAACTAAAATATATCAGTGCTTTTAGTATCTTAAATGAATGTTGTAATTATGTACTATATTTTACATTAGAGACTTTGATTAGGATTATTGAGATTTAAGATCTTTCCTCTTTACTTTTGTATCTTCCAAAAGTGCCCAATACTTCTGAGCATATAAATGCTGCATTTTGCCTAAATATACCAGATAATTTTCTTTCTTTCCTCTTTTTTTCTTTTTCTTTTTTCTTTCTCTCTCTCTTTCTCTCTCTTCTTTTCCTTCCTTCTTTCTTTCTTTTCTTTCTCTT